AACAGACGGTCGAACGTCTAACGACGTCTTGCTTTCCCCCCCCCCTCCCTTTTTTTTGTCGGGGGGGGGGGGTCGCAAGGTGTCAGGGGGTCCGTTTTCGCCCAAGATGGCTCCAAGAGGGCCTCCGAAGCTTCAAGATGGCCTCCAAGATGGCTCAAGGTAACGCAAGATAGCTAGATAGCTCAATATAACCTACGTCATGCCTCCAAGAGGCCCCAAGATGGCCACATGACTGTTTCAAGTGCTCTCGGAGACCCCTCAGGACCCCTCCAATATCCAAGAGGCCAAAATCTTCCAAAAACCGAAGGAACAATTATGATCCTCTTCCGACGCGCGTTTGAGGCGTCCAGATGGCCCCAAGATGGCCCAAGAATGCCCCAAGAGGAGCCCAAGAGGCCCTTAAGACCTCAAGACGGCCCCAAGACCCAAGACCTAAGAGCGCCGAAGAGCGCCCGAAGGCCCCAAGAGGCGGTGTTGATGGCCACACGGGGGGGGGGCGCAGATATGGGATATGGGAACAACATTTTTTGTTCGATGACCTCCCAGATGACCTCCAAGATGGCCCCAAGGTGCCTTCCATGGCCCCCAAGAGGGCCCCAAGAGAGCCACAATAATGCCCAAAGAGACCCCCCCCCCCCCCAAGAGCCCCAAGAGGACCCCAAGACCCTCCAAAAGAGCTCCCCCACTTTGGTCCACTATACACTATATCTGTCCCTTCGTGCCAGTTTCCGCCAGCTCTCATGGGCAGGGCTTCTGATTGGGCTGGCGGCTGGCGGGGTTCCGCGGTTACGCGAAGGGGTGTGCCGAAATTCGTGCGGGGCCGCTACGCGGACGCTGCCATCGTCGTCGTCGCCGTCGTCGTCGCGTCGACGTCGTCGTCGTCGTCTTCGTTCCCTCGCGCTGCTTCAGGCGCCAAGGGGTCCCTCCAGGGGGCCGAAGACGACGACGACGACGACGGCAACGAAGGCGACGACGATGACGATGGCGACGGCGGCGGCGGCGGATCTCCTCCGTCCTCAACCCTCAACCCCGAGCTTCCTGTATGCTGTATGTATGTATGTATGTAGGTAGGTAGGTAGTATATAGGTGTGTAGGTATGTAGGTATGTAGGTATGTAGGTATGCAGGTATGTATACATGTATGCATACATGTATGTACATTTGTATGTATGTATGTATGCATGCATGCATGTATGTATGTATGGATGTATGGTATGTATGGGTGTAGGTATGTATGTTTGCATGCATGTGTGTATGTATGTGTGTATCTATGTGTGTATGTACGTATGCATGTATGCATGTATGCATGCATGCATGTATGTGTGTATGTATGGTTGTGTGTATGTATGTATGTATGTGTGCATGTATGTATGTATGTATGTATGTATGTATGTATGTATGTGTGTATGGTTGTGTGTATGGTTGTATGTATGTGTGGATGTGTCCATGCATGCATGCATGCATTCATGTATGTGTGTATGTATGTATGTATGTATGTAGGTATGTATGTAGATGTATGTATGTATGTATGTATGTATGTATGTATGTATGTATGTGTGTGTGTATGTATGTATGTATGTATGTATGTATGTATGTATGTATGTGTGTATAGCGTATAGCGTATTGCGCTCTCTCCCCACCTCCTACCTCCTACCTCCTACCTCCTACCTCCCTCCCTGCCTCCCTCCCTCCCCCCTCCCTCCCTCCCTCCTTTGTTATCTGCTCGTGCACGGCATGGAAACACAGGTACACAAATGAGTACGCGTGGGGCCGCGTGCCAAGGCCTCTCGCATCGAGCGCGCGATTGAGGAGCTGGCCACTATGCACGGCGGCGTTCAGCGCTGCTACCTCGGCCATTCTGCAATCGCGGTCGGGCCAGCTGCCGAGGGCGATCATTGTCCGCCAGCGGCGGCAGTGCCCGGGCATGTACTCAGGGAGACAGGCGTCTCCGCGATAGCACCGCCCACCTCTCCACCTCCAGGACGGGTCCGATGCGCTGCCGATGTACGCCGTGCCGTCGCCGACCTCTGCAGCGCCCCGCAGGCCCGACGCCACTCGCTCCAGCAACGTTTCCGCCGAGACGTCCAGGCACGGCCTCAACACGATCGCGGAGTCGTCCGTGACCCCGCCCAGCACCATCTCGGCCTCCTCCCGCGCGATGTCCCATCGCACGGACCTCCGAGGCGGTCGCGGGCACCACCCCTGGCCCCCGCGCCCGGCACGCCCAGGCGCTCTGGACCGCGTCAGCGGCAGCAGCTGCAGCGGCTGGATGCCCGCAGACGCAGCCGTCGCACTGGCCGTCGCAGCCCTCGCAGCGGTCGCAGTGGCTGTCGCCGCCGTCGCACTGGCCGTCGTAAGCGTCGCACTGGCCGTCGCACTGTCCGTCGCACTGTCGCACTGTCCGCACAGTCGCACTGGCCGTCGCACTGTCGCACTGTCTGCACTGGCCGTCGCACTGTAGCACTGGCCGTCGCACTGGCCGTCGCACTGGCCGTCGCACT